AAATCCAGAGCTGGTACTCGTGGACGCAAGCTCGGGCTGTGTCGCCGATTGTTGTGCCTCGGGATCAGTCGCCTCGCGTTTCGCTGATCTACTCCCCCCAGATGGTCAGCGATGTGCATTCTGCTGGTCGGGGGTCAGGTGCAACTCAGAGGATTCTTCCTGTGCTGGTTTCTCTGCGAGCTCGGGGTCTCAATCGAGTCTACCCTCCCCGATTGCCAGCGAGGTGCAGTCAGCCGGGCTGGGGGCAGGTGCAGCTCAGAGGGCAGCTTCCTGTGCTGGTCCTTCGGCGAGGTCGGGGTCTATTTCGGGGTTGCCCTCCCAGATGGCCAGCGATGTGCGTTCCGCTGGTCTGGGGGCAAGTCCAAGCCAGGGGGCTGCGTCCTGCGCTGGTCCTTCGGCGAGTACGGGGCCTCCTCCGGGTCCACCCTCCCAGATGGCCAGCGATGTGCATTCCGCTGAGCCCAGGGCAGGTGCAAACCAGAGGACGCGTGCGGTTTGTCGTCCTCTCCCTGGCGACTCCTCGGGCTCGGGCTACACTGGTCTGACTGAACCCCCACCGCGGTGCTTGGTCGCATGACCAGCCAATGCTTGCACTAGGAGCGGTCCATCGGCCGTGGGAGGTGGGGCTGCTGGTGTCCTCGGGAGTTGACCCGCGGACCCCCCCCCCAAGTGCGCGGCGCAAGTGGCAAAGAAGCGCCATCGCCAGTGGGGGGCCACCAGGGGGCGCTGCTCATTGCGGAGGCGATGGCAGGGATCGCGGAGGTTCGAGCAGGTCGCGGCAGGCGAAGAGGCAGGAGGGGTGAGGGGTCACGGTCAGCGGGGAACCAACTGCTAAGGCCAGGCAGACGCTCGCCAAGGGCGGGGCGGAGGAACGTCGGTGCGTTACGCGTCCCTTTGCGGCGGAGGCGGGCCGCGAGTTCCAGCCGACTCGCCAGAGGCCGCGGCAGATGGCAGCCTGGCACTTCCTGAGCACGGAGGACACATGTCAGGAAGAGCGCGTACTTTGCGGAGTTGTTGAAGAGGGAGGGAGGCTTGCGCGGCATACTTCGAGGGGCTGTCGGGCGAGACAGCCGAGCGGGGGCGGGCGCGAAGGGCGACCGAGGAGTGCAGGGCGGCGTGGAGATCTAGAACCCAGCAGTGGACGGCCAGGTGGCGCCGTTTGCAGCACCTGGGGGGGGGGCGACAACAGCAGGGTGCTCGAGAACATGCTGGCGCGCGAGAGGATCGCGCGGTTCTTCATGGGCGGCCTGGGCGCGGGCAGCTGGCCAGAGGACGCGGCGCCGTGCGAGGTGGCGCTGCCGGATGCTCTTGCCAGGGGCATGTCGCGGCCTCCCAGGCGGAGAGAGCCCAGAGCCTCGGCAGCGGGTCAACTTGAGGAGGCACCGCAGGCCGAAGTTCCAGAGCCGGACGCCGGGGAGGACATGCACGAGGCCAGGCCCTCCTCGTTCTACGCCAACTCCGGCCAGGCCCAGCCCGCAGCCGATGCCATGGGCGGGTGGGCCGCAGAGGCAGAGCAGGAGCCAGGCGAACCGTCCATCTGGGCGGGCCCTGGGATCAGCAGCGCGGTCTCGCCCAGCGAGGACCGACGGAGCTCGGCCAGCGGCGGCCAGGTCAGGCGCAGCGTGAGGCCGGGGGCGGCCGAGGCCGTCGACCACTTCGAGGGGGGGCCCCCCGGCGCCGGCCCAGCTGGCGCGCTCGCGGGGCTCGCAACTGGGATGGCCTTGGCGATGGCAGCCGCAGCCTCGGCCTCGGCCAGCTCGCGGGCCGACGGCGGGGGCGGGGGGGGTGGCGGAGCGACGCCAGGAGAGGCAGGGACGCAAGAGGCTCCCCGCGCCCATGCCTCAGACGACCAGCGCAGCGGGGGCGCCCGGGCGAGGGCGCGCCAGGCCGCAGCGGGCCCATGGAGATGATGCGGCCGAGGGTGGCAGGCTAGCGCCAGCGGAGCCATCCGAGGGATGGGGGGGCGACCCCATCCAGGCGCCCGCGGAGCGGTGCCAGGAGATGCCTCCCCAGAGAGGCAGCGCGGTCAGCATTGCAGCCGCGGGGGCGGGGGGCGACAGGCAGAGGGCGCCATCTCGCCCAGCCGCGTTCTCAGGGGCGGGCCAGGCGGAGGACAAGTTCCATGCTGTGCGGCAGGCGCATGGATGAATCGTGTGTGTGTGTGTGTGTGACCTGCGGCGCCTACGGCAGGAGGAAGACAGACGGGCTCGGGCGGGCCTGTCCTGGATGGCCATAGAAGCCGACGGCCATCGACAAGATACGCAAGCAGCGGGCGGCCAACCTCCAGGCAGGTCCGGGCAAGGCTCCACCCCGCGACGCGCCAGCCGCCCGACTGAGGCGAAAGAGGTGCAACGAGGGCTGGGAGAGCAGCGTGGCTGCGAGCGGGGCTGCAAGGCCTGGCTCGTGTATTATTGTTAGGATGATGATCTGAAAGCTGCGCGTTGCCTGGCAGTCAAAGTAGTGGCGGAAGATCGCCGCTGCTCGAGCTGGCCCCGTAGGGGTTGACTTGATGGGCTCCCGCGGGAGCCTGTGCACCGGGAGCCTTTTCACCGTGCCGTGCGCGGACACTGCGGAACAGAAGAAATTAAGCTTGCACCGCATTGCTTGCACCACACCGCTTGCACCACATAGCTTTACACCAAAGCTTTCACCATATTTATACATATATGCATACGTACATACTTACATATATATATATATAATTGATAGAGAGAGGGAGAGAGATAGAGAGAGAAAGAGAGAGAGAGAGAGAGAGAGAGAGAGAGAGAGAGATCGCGTTTTTTATTGCTTGGGGCATGACGGGCGTCATGGCCCCCCCCCATGACGTAACATTCCCCCCCCAGTGCGCTCCAGGCACTGCCGCCGTGCGCGTTGGGATCCGCGTAGGTGTCCGCGTAGGAATCCGCATAAGAGTCTAGCCCGCAGTTGTCGCTCGTCGCTCATCGTCGTCGTGCGCGCGTGCGCGGCTGGAGCCCTTTTTTTCAAACCAGGCCGATGACGGCAATCATCTGGGGGCGGTGGAGGGGGTCGATGACGTCACGTTTCGCGCCCACGGCGTTTGGGAATGCCCAGGAATGACGGAGGACGGGTAGCACCAGCATGTAGGTGGCGATTTGCACCACAATGCTTGTGTACACCATAAAGCTTGCATGCACCACAGCGCCTGTGTACACCACGCCGCCTGTGGACACCACGGCAGCCGCGTGCAACACAACGTCAGTTTGTGCCACCGTGCCTTCGGGCACAACAGCTGGTGTGTACACCGCGACGCTTGCGTACACAACATCAGCCGTGTGCAACACAACACCAGTGTACACCACAAGGCCTGCGTGCATTGCAGTGCCTGTGGACACCACGGCGCCTGTGTGCACCAGAGCAACCGTGTGTAACACAACACCAGTGTTGTATATAGAATGTTCGAAGGAATCTTTATGACACGTTGGAACGCTTGTGGATTCCAGAGAAAACAATCGAACAACTAATCATTATGGACAAAGGAGCGCCGCTGGAATCTACGAGTCCTTTTCGAGTCCGCCCGCATCACCCTTACTCCTCCCATCTGCGTCCAGGAGGCTCCCGATAACGTGACCGTGCGAGAACCAAGTGGACCGATTCAATCGACCATTCTGAGGTGCACGCTGAGATTCGCATGTGCGCTGTAGCGCCAATCCGCACGACAAGGGGTAAGGAGGAAGAGAAGGAAGAGGAGGAGGATGAGCAAGAGGAGGACGAGGAGGAGGCGGTGTAGGAAGAGGGAGGAGGGAAGAACGTTGCATTCGATTTTCGGCATTTTCCTACAAGCAGGCGCTGTGGTGTACACTAGCGCTGCGTTGCACGTGGATGTTGTGGTGTAGACAGGCGCTGTGGCGTGCATAGGCGCTGCGATGCACGCAAGCATTGTGGTTTACACAGGAGCTGTGTTGCACATGGTTGCTGCGGTGCACACATGTACACCGGTGCTGTCGTGTACGCGATCACTGTGGTGTTCACAGGCGCTGCTTTGCACACGGTTGTTGCGGTGTGCGCATGCGCTGTGGTGCACACGCGCGCTGTGGTACACGTGAGCGTTGTGGTGTACACAGGCGCAGTGGGGCATATCGCCACCTACATGCTGCTCGCGTCGTCGTCGTCGTCGCTCGTCGCTCGTCGCGTCGTGCGCGCGTTCGCGGCTGTGGTGCCGGAACCACACGGCGGGGGGGGGGGCGTTACGTCATACCCCCCCCGCCCCCCCCCCCCATGACGCCCGTCATCGCCGAACGTAAAGAAACGCGCTCATTGCACATGGTGTACGCCACGTGGCTGGCACCACATAAATTGTACATCCACAGTGCAAGAACGTACTGTTTGGAAACAGCGCTGGCAAACATGAGGGTCTAGGTTTTTTGATCGAGCCGCGTGATCTCGACGCCTTCAAATACGCAATCTTGGTGGCGTATGATCAAGTCGGTGTAGAGAGCACAGAATGGGAAGCTGATCTCGGCACTTCCAGGCTGCCCGAATGGGGTCGGAGTAAATGGGGTCCGAAGATCGCTCTGCATCGTCGAGTCGGTGCAAACCAGCGCCCGATAGTCTCCATCCCGACGTCGGCAATGTATCGCTGTCGCGCCAGCGATGCGGTGCGATCCTCTAACTCCATCTGCTCCTCGCGCTACAACGCATCGGGAACTCCTGCTCCCGCTGGTTCCGCCCGAGGCCTCTTCGAGGCCTCCGCAGATCCGGTGGCTGCTCGTCCCTCCGAGGCCCCTCCTGGCTCCCCAGGGAGGTCCTTGTGGGCCTCCGGAGGCCCAGCGAGTGCTGGAAACGTCCCACACATCTCGATCCTCGTCTCCGCCGCCGTCGCCGCCGTCGCCGCCGCCGCCGCCGTCGCCACTGCTGCCACCGCAGCCGTCGCCGCCGCCGCCGCAGCCGCCGCCGCCGCAGCCGTCGTCGCCGCCGCAGCCGTCGTCGCCGCCGCCGCCGCCTGCCGTCGTCGTCGTGCCGCCGCGCCGCCGCGCAGCGAGGAGCAGCCTGCCCCCGCTGGCGAGCCCTCGCCCGCCGGTGCGCGGGCCCCGTTCGGGGCCCTGCAGAGCGTGCTGGCGCGCGCTCGCCGCCCTGCTTCGCGAGGGGGGGCTGGCCGTCGGCGGCCCTCGGCCCTTTTGGCATCCCTGGCTCTTTCGGAGCGCCTGGGGCCCCCCGGGGGGCCATCGGAGGAGGCCTTTGAGGACCGCTGGAGGCCAGTGGGGCCGCCGGAGGAGGTCGTCGTCGTCGTCGTCATCGTCGTCATCGTCGTCGTCGTCGTCGTCGCCGCCGCCGCCGCCGTCGCCGTCGCCGTCGCCGTCGCCGTCGCCGCTGTCTTTGTCGTCGCCGTCGTCATAATTGTCGACGCCGTCGTCGTCGCCGCCGCCGTCGTCGTCGTCTTCGTCTTTGGCGTCGTCGTCGTCCGCGTCTGTCGTCTGTGGTCTCTCGTCCGTGGTCTGTCGTCTGTTGCCCTGGAAGAGGAGGAGGGGGAGGAGGAGGTCGAGGAGGAGGAGGAGGAGGAGGGGGAGGAGGAGGATCAGGAGGAGGAGGAGGAGGAGAAGGAGGAGGAGGAGGAGGAGGAGGACAGGGGATGGAGGAGGAGGAGGGAGGAGGAGGAGGGAGGAGGGAGGAGGAGGAGGGAGGAGGAGGAGGAGGAGGAGGGGAGGAGGAGGAGGTGGAGTAGGAGGAGGAGGAGGAGGAACAGGGGATGGAGCAGGAGGAGGAGGGGATGGAGGAGGAGGAGGAGGAGGAGGGGAGGAGGAGGAGGAGGTGGAGTAGTAGTAGGAGGAGGAGGAGGACGAGGAGGAGAAGGAGGAGGAGGAGGAGAAGACAAGAGCATCGGAGCTTAGCTCGACTCTGTCTGCAGTCCTGAGTCCTGAGGGGAGGACATATTAATGAGAAGGAGACGTGGGATGAACAGGAGGAGGAGGAGGAGAAGGAGGAGGATGAGGATGATTATAATGATCATGATAGTGATGCTGATGAGGTGACGATGATGATAATGATGATGGTGTGGTGATGATGATGATGCTGATGCTGATGCTGATGCTGATGATGATGATGATGATGATGATGATGATGATGATGATGGTGATGGTGATGGTGATGGTGATGGTGATGTTGTGATGGTGATGGTGCTGATGATGATACTGATGATGCTGGTGATGATAACGATGACGATGATGATGCTGCTGCTGATGGTGATTATGATGGTGGTGATGATGCTACCGCTGGTGATGGTGGTGGTGATGATGATGATGGTGATGATGATGATGACGGTGATAATGATGGTGATGGCGTGATGGTGATGATGCTGATGATGTTGCTGCTGATGTCGATGACGATGACGACACTGATGCTGCTGATGCTGCTGCTGATGATGACGATGCTGATGATGATGGTGATGATGCTGCTGATGATGATGTTGATGATGCTGATGCTGCTGATGATGGGATTTCGCTGCTGCTGCTGGTGCTTATGCTGCTTTTGATTCTGATGATGATGATGATGATGATGATGATGATGATGATGATGATGATGATGAGGAGGAGGAGGAGGAGGAGGAGGAGGAGGAGGGAGATGACGAGGGGTGGGATGACGGGTGCAGAAGGATGAGAGGAGGAGGAGGAGGTTGATGAGGAGGAGTGGGAGGATGATATTGAATCATGATGATTGGCAGGTGGCCGAGGCGGAGCAGGACAAGGATAATGCGGAAGAGAAGGAGGAGGAGGAGGAGGAGGAGGAGGAGGAGGAGGAGGAGGAGGAGGAGGAGGAGGAGGAGGAGGAGGAGGAGGAGGAGGAGGAGGAGAGAGGGAGGATATCGGGAGGAGGCGTTGCGGATCAGGAGGTGGATTGCTGAAGGGCAAGAGGCGCACGTGCTTGCGCGTCTCTTGGTGAAGCCAAGGGGCCCCACGCAGGGAGAGAGCTCGGACGTCTCCGACTCACTGGACCTCGCCGCCGCCACACTTGAAGGGTACGCTCCCAACAGATGACCTGTCTGGGGGGCTCGGGCTTTCCGGAACCAGCTGCAGGCAGCAGTCTAGAGCATGGAGCATTTGCCAGAGGGTGGTCCGAAACCTTTGGCACAGGCGGCGAAGAGATCGCCCCTGTTCTCACCTATTTAGGGGGCCACATGCGAACTCTACCCCTACCCCCCACGATTTCTGAGGGGGAGGGTGGGGTTCGCTTCGTTCGGGAGCTCCTGAGCGAAGTGAACCCCACCCTTCCCCTCAGAAATCGTGGGGGGCAGGGGTAGGGCTCGCAAGTGGCCCCCTACCTATTGCACCCTCGTGCTTCCGCGGGGTGCCCCTCTCGCCGGCAACCTCGAGCAGCGCGCCTCCCCAGCGCCTCGAGCTTCCGTCCCCGAAAGGGCCTCCCCCGTGGCCGCCTCCACTCACCGGGCGAGCTCCACTGCTCGCACAGTGCCCGCTCGGAGACGTCCGAGAAACAATCGCGTCTTCCTCTGCGTCAAGTATCGTAAATCTCCCGCGGCGGATCTCGAAGAAGAAGGATTGGCATGGCATGTACTGGGGGGCCCAGCGCAGATCCAAGAAATCCGCTCGGAGCGCCGAAAGTTTATGCTTATGGCGTTGTTTCTTCTTGTATGAAATCCCCCGCGGCGGATCCAGGCCATTTGCGTTAAGCTGGGCGTGTCCTTCTAAAGGAGGAATATTCAAAACTTGTCAAAACATACTCCAAGGACGATGACTATTTTTGAGCATGATTGGATTATTTTTGGAGTAGTTTTACTTTTTCGTCCAAAATCCGCCTGCAGGGGGACATGCCCGACCTAACATTTGCGAATCGCTACCCGGCGAGTCGTGGAGCGTTTTTTTCTTGTTCTTCTATGAACTCCCCCGCGGCGGACCCAGGCCATCTGCGAGCAGTTCCCTGCGAGTCGTGGAGCGCGCTCGTCCGCTCGCAGCCGCGGACAAGAAGCGCGCCAGTCGCGCAAGCACCGCCGCCGGCCGCGCACCGGTGCCACCGCGCGCCTCCCGGCGCTTTCGCGTGAAGTCGCGCTGTCGCGTGCGGTCGGATTCTTTTTCGAAAGTAATCAAACAAATACTCTGGGAACGTTTTTGTTCGAGCATCGTTCAAACATGGTTTTCAGACGCAGGCAGACAATAGGGGAACAATAGTCTCGGGACTTTTTTCCGTTTTTGTTGTTGTCGTTGTCGTTGTTGTCGTTGTTGTTGTTGTTGTTGTTGTCGTTGTCGTTGTCGTTGTCATTGTTGTCGTTGTCGTTGTCGTTCTCGTTGTTTTTGTCGTTGTCCTTTGTGTTGTCGTTGTCGTCGTCGTTGTAGTTGTTGCTGTTGTTGTTGTTGTTGTTGTCGTTGTCGTTGTACGTGTTGGTGTTGTGGTTGTTGTTGTTGTTGTTGTTGTTGTTGTTGTTGTGGTTGTTGATGTTGCTGCGGTTGTCGTTGCTGCTGCTGTTGTTGTTGTTGTTGTTGTTATTATCGCTGTTTTTGGTTTGCTTTTGTTATTGTTAATATTCATGTTTGAGAATAGTTGTTGTTGATCTCCGGGAACGGTTCTGGGAGTTCTCGCCATGACGCTATGAAGACGCGGCTCCCGCTCGAGCGTTGGCTTGAGTGTGAAAGTGGGCCGTTGGAGGCCCGGCTACGACGACAACGGCTCCCGCTCGATGGTTCCTCACAATTTACCCCGAGACACCCTGGCCAGAGAGGCCCCCGAACTCAGGAACGGCGCTCTCGCTCGAGACTTCCTCACAATTCCGTCAAGTTGGCGGGGGGCCCAGCCACGACGACAAGGGCTCCTGTTCGATACGTCTTCATGATTCACTCCAAGAGCTCCTGGCCAGGAAGGCCCCCGAACTCAGGAACGGCGCTCTCGCTCGAGACTTTGTCATGATGCAGTCAAATTGGTGGAGGCCCAACTACGACGACAAGGGATCCCGTTCGATACTTCCTCAAGATGTATTCGCAGAGGCCCTTGCCAGAGAGGCCCCCGAACTCAAGAGTGGCGCTCTCGTTCGAGACTTTCTCGTATTTCAGGCGAGTTGGTTGCGGCCCAGACACGGCGACAAGGGTTCCCGTTCCATATTTCTCAAGATGTATTCCGAGAGACCCTGGCTGGAAAGGCCCCCGAATTCAGGGACGGACCGCGCTGCACCAGGGAAGATGTCAATGATGAGGAGGCGACGACCGCGAGGTGAACGTCCTGTTGACAATCCTTGTGCTCTTCATGGTGCTGGTATGCACAGGCGAGGGGGTCTTTGGATGTGCTCAGCTACCTTAGCTCTCTCCATCGTTGTGGTCGTTGTCGTCGCGGTCGTCGTCCGAATCCTTTCCTTTTTCCATGTCTCCTGTAGTGTCAGGTCCTTGTCGTCTCCAGACCAGCGCGGCATATCCCGCCTCTTTGTCATTATCATCCCCATCCCTCCCGCCCTTCCATACTGCTCGTCCTCGTCTTCTTGCTTCTCCGCATCCTTTGCCGTTTCTGGCTCTTCTTATTGATTTTGATCGTGTGATGATGAGAGTTGTTTCCCTCTTCCTCCTCCTCCCCCTCTTCTTCGTCTTCCCCCTAGTGGTCGTTGTAGGAGCTTCCCCCCCAATGGAGCCTTAGCTGCTGAGGCACAGGCGGATGCATACGCGGACCGTTACAGAGGCAGTCGTCGTTTATGCAGTGGTCTCGTGTCTCTACTTGCTGTAGGGGATCCCGCGCCCTTCCGCAAGCGTACCCGCTCTTCCAGGGAAAGAGCACCGCTCTAGCGCTTCGCCCCAGGCGAGGGGGAAATCGCCGCTGCGGCCTGAAGATTGGACGAGGGGCGTGCTATTCAGTATCCTCCTCCCTCCCTCCCTCCCTCTTTTTTCTTGTTCTTCTTCTTCTTCTTCTGCTTCTGCTGTTCCTCCTCCTCCTCCTCCTCCTTGAGCCCTTTGCCGCCGCTGAGGAGCTTGCCCTGCTCTCGCCGAGGCCTCGCAAGTGAATGATTGTCCCGCCCTGGGGTAAAGCGGATCCTGCCACCACTGCTCGGACCCGTTCCTTGCATGCTGGGTTTGCCCCTCTTGGCTCGTTTTCGCAGGCCTGGAGGTCGACACCAACACCAATGTCGGCGATGTGCCTGCACCGAGGGAAGAAGATCCCGATCTCGGTAATGGTGGTGATATTCTGGCTTCCAGGGTGGCCGAACTATTACCACCAACACCGAAGTCTAGGATAATCTTCTCCCTGTGGAGACAACCCCCTGTGTTGGTGTTGGTGCCCATTGCCAAGCCTCGAACTCCTGGCTCGTTGTCTAGATGGCGGGGTGTGCCAGGCACCTCGGGACCTACTTCTGGGGCTCCGCGGCGTCTCTTTTTCGGACGAGCGGCATGCAGCGACCACCGTTCGTATGTAGATGTATGCATGCATGTATGTATGTGCATATATATGTACACAAATATAGGTGTATGTATGTAGGTAGGTAGGTAGGGGTGCATGTTTGTATGTATGTATGTATACATGTATGTCTGTCTGTCTGTCGGTCTGTTTGTCTGTCTGTCGGTGTGTCTGTTTGTCTGTCTGCCTGTCTGCCTGTGTGTGCATCTCTATATATATTTGTATACATGTATGTATGTATGTATGTATGTATGTATGTATGTATGTATACATACATGTATGCATGTATGTATGTATGTATGTATGTATGTATGTATGTATGTATTCATGTGTCTATGTCCGTGTGCATGTACATCTCCATACATTCATGCATACATGCATGCATGTCTGTCTGTATGTATATATGTATGTATGTATGTATGTATGTATGTATGTATGTATGTATGTATGTATGTATGTATGTGTGTATGTATGTGTATGTATGCATGCATGCATGTACGTATGTATGCATGCATGCATGTATGCATGTCTGTCTGTCTGTCTGTCTGTCTGTCTGTATGTATGTATGTATGTATGTATGTATGTATGTATGTATGCATGTGTGTATGTGTGTATTTTTGTATGTATGCATATAAATATATGTATCTGAATATATATATGCACATTTGCATGTATGGATGTATGGCTGAACGTATGTGTGTATGTATGTTTTTCTGCATGCATGTGTGCATGTATGTATGTACGCATGTGCGTATATGACGCGTCTGTGTTCTCCACGCTGAACCACGTTGCCCAGGTCTTCCCTCTAGAGCAGTCTATCGCTCGCCGCGAAGCTTACATCCTTTACAACATGCCAGCCCTGCCTCCGAATTGGCTCGGCAGAGTCGACCTGGTCGCCATGGCCGACGGGGCCCCACAGCTCCTGTGCCAGCTTCTCTGCAGGTAGTCACACTTGCCGCTGCCGTGCGCTCTGCTTCGGTCACGCTCCGCGGTGACCGGGAGGGCTTCTTTGCGCGCCTGCGAGGCACATCATCGGACGAGCGTGCGCTCCGCAACTTCCCGCGCTGGAGCGCGGGGGGCACTGCTCGCCGCCTTTTCGCGTGCAGCCCATCCCTGTCGTGCAGTTCTATTCCAGCTTGTGCTCAGGCCAGCGCTGCCTTATCTTCCCTGCCCATGCGATCCGCTCCGCACTCAAGGCGGGCCGCGCCGCTGTCGCATCGGCCGCTGATGCTGCCTCGCAGCCTCGCGCCAGCGTGCAGCGCTCGATCGCAGGCGCACTTTGAGAGGCATGCATCGCTTCGCCCTTTACCGTCACGCTCGCGGACCGTTTGGCCTCCTCGGGACTGCAGCTGCCGTCCCCCCCCCCCCCCTCGACGAGCTTTCTACGCGCTGGGAGTCGTTGTCCAGGACTCTCCAGGGGCTCCGGCCGAGCTGGCGTTTGGGCTGTCTTCAAGACCCTCGCCGGAGGTTGGACCACAACCGCGCGCCACGGGCGTGTGTCTTCGGACGCTCGCATGTCGCGGGGGCCTTCCTCCACCACCTCTCCTGTCCTCGCCTCCTGGGCCTCCCCTGGTCCCCCGGCCCACGTTCTGTGGCTGCGGGGCCCGACGCTGCCTGTGCCGCTGGCCGCGACAGCGCCGCGTCGCTGCATCGCACGTGTCAGTACATCTTCCAAAGCTCTTCCCACATACAGCAATAGGAAGCAGCAGACCGCGCCGACGGCCGAAGGCACCGCCTCGGCTTGCGCACCTGCCCGCGCCCCCGTCTGGCGCCAGTCGGTGCCTGCGGTGTGGAGCGCTCGGGGGACATGCGCTCCCCAGGGTGCCCGAATTCTTCTCCCTCCTGCTCCTCCTCCCCTTCCTCCTCCTCCTCTTCCTCCTGCTCCTCCTCCTGCTCCTCCTCCTCCTCCTCTCCTTCTCCTCCTCGTCCTCCTCCTCCTCCTCCTCCTCTCCCTACTCCTTCTCCTCCTCCCCCTCTCCTCCTCCTCTCTCCTCCTCCTCCTCCTCTCCCCCTCCCTCCTCTCCCTCCTCCTCCTCTTCCTCCTCCTCCTTCTCTCCTCCTCCTCCTCCTCCTCCTCCTCCCCCTCCTTCTCCACCTCCTACCCCTCCCTCCTTTCCCTTCTCCTCCTTCTTTCCTCCCTTCCTCCATTCTTTCCTCCCTCCCTCCTTCCCTCTGGCGGCGACCGCGAGAACGACCACGGCGACGATGACGACGACGACGACGGCGACGAGGACGATGACGACAAGGTTATGAGGACGACGACAACGAAGACGACGACGACGACGACGACGACGACGACGACGACGACGACGACGACGACGACGACGACGACGACGACAACGACCTGGTGGTCGAAGGCGAGCTGGCGCCCGCGGGGAACGCGAGCGCCAGCAGCGGCACCTGCGAGCAGGCCGATGGATGCGCGTACACCCGCTGCGAGATGCGACGGGATCCCCGCGGCGGTGGCGAGGGAAGGGAAGGGGAGGAGGAGGAGGAGGGGGAGGAATGATGAGGTAGGAGGATGTGTGGGGAGGGGGGGGGAGAGGGGGGGAGGGGAGGGAGGGGAGGGGGGGAAGCAGGGGGGAGGAGGAGAGGAGGAGGAGGAGGAGGAGGAGGAGGAGGAAGAGGAGGAGGAGGAGGAAGAACAGGAGGAGGAGGATAAGCAGAATGAGGAGGAGACGAAGGAGCAGGAGGAAGATGATGAATATGATGATTACTGGACCAGTGTATGAGGAGGGGGAGACGGAGGACCATTGTAGTTCCCCTGCGCTTCAACGGTGTTGCAATCGACCCTCCCGAGCTTCCTCTTCGCAGGTCCCTTTCAGAGTTGTTTAATTACGGTGGGTGTCCTACTGGAAGGCATCTCCATGATAATCTTCAATCGTGCCAACACGTCCTTCTTGGGACTTCAGATGCCTGGGTCAACATGGTTGATGCGTCCTGACAATCCCGAGTCGTGCCACTAACGTCGTTCTTGGGCATGCAACGCCGCGAAGCATCGTGACTGTTTTGTTCCGATCGTCTTAACCCGTGCTAGAACACCGTTCCTGGGATTCCAGCCATACCCATCGGTCATTGAAAGTAGGTACTTCGGGAGTCCGATATTCCGATCTACTTTAAGCGCCTCCCTACTTCAAGGGTCCAGTGGTGTTCCTTCTTCCCTCCTCTTAAGGAGGCGGGCGGAAGCCAAATCTACTTCGAACGCCTTCCTACTGCATGGTCCTACCTGCTTCTTCCGACCGATGGGCACGTTTCCTCGAGCTTGTTGTGAATTTTCCGCACGCGTGTGCGCGACGTTGGGGCGAGAACCGCATTTCGAAAAGGAGCAGCCCTCCATCATTGATCGTGACGCGAATTCCTAAGACGAATGTACGGGCGCGAAGGCGAGCGCCACGTTTTGAAGACGACCCGCCCTCCATCCTCGTAGCTGTGGTAAACTTTCAAGCGCATGTGCGCGGCGCTACAGCGAGAGCCTCATTTCGATAGCCACGTGCCCGCCATCAGTGAAGCCATCGCGAACTTCGAGCTTCAAAACCATAAGCGGCGAGGGAGTCTCAGGCGAAGCGCCCAGCCCGCCCTGCAGACACGGAAAGCGGGCGGAGGGTGAGTGGGGGGGGGATAATGGGGGATATTAGTGGAAGAACGATGATGAGGAGGGGATGTAGAGAGGGAGAGAGGGAGGGGATGTAGATAGGGAGGGAGGGAGGGAGGGGAAATGAGGGGATGGGGAGGGGGACGAGGAGGAGAGTTCTTGGGTTTACACTGGCCTTGTTCCTCCTGCTCATCCTCTTGCTCATCCGCCACCTCCCGCCTCCTCCACCTCCCTTCCTCTTCTTCCTCCTCATCTGGAGTCCTTTTGAGGGTCCCAGGTCCGCTATGACCAGCGGTCGGTGGACAGAGACACATATCTTGTCCTCTCTCTCTCTCTCTCTCTCTCCCTCTCTCTCCTTCCTCCCCTCACTCCTTCCCTCCTCCTCTCCCGCAGGCCCCATCCCCTGCCCCGCCCTCCGCTGGGCCCTCCCGCTGGGCGGAGGACCTGAGGGCCGTCGCGAGCTTCCTGCTGGGCGCGGCGCTGTGCAGCGTCATCTCGCGCGTCAGAGGCGGACGGGGCGGACCAGACCAGTCGCAAGTGTCGGGCGTACGGCAACGGGGGGCAAATCACGTGGGGAGGATATCGAGGACTGATGGAACACGGGGCCCCCAAAGGGGTCCTTCCCGACCGCGGGACCAAGATCCAGAGGAGGAAAAGGCACCCATACCGCTACCCTTGCCTCGTTTTCGCCTTTTGGGGGGTGTCCTGTGAGGCCCTCGTTGCCACCGCTGGATTCGCTTCGAAATTCTGGTCAGAACGCACCCTGGGAGACCAGGAGAGGTCCGGGGAGCAGCGGCATCGGTGCCTTCTGGTTTGCCCAGAGGTGTGCACGAGAGTGGCACGTTTCTGCCCGCCCCGCGCTCTCTGCTTCCCTGTCAAAATCCTCAGGGATCCTCGGGGATCCTCGGGGATCAATTCTCAGGAATCCCTCGGGATCCCTGGGGATCCCGGGGAATCCCCCGGGATCCTTTCTGGCTGGGATCCCAACGGAGTGTCCCCAGGACCCCCTGGGAACCCCAGGGAACGACAGCGACTTCCAACAGGAGGCTCCTGGAGGGCTCTGGGGGCCTGCGGGTGAGGCGTGCCCCCCCCGCGGGCCTGAGGAGGAGGAGGAGGAGGAGGAGGAGGAGGAGGAGGAGGAGGAGGAGGAGGAGGAGGAGGAGGAGGAGGAGGAGGAGAGGAGGAGGAGGAGGAGGAGGGAGGAGGAGGAGGAGGAGGAGGAGGAGGAGGAGGAGGAGGAGGAGGAGGATGGGGTGTAGGTGCAGGAGGAGGAGGAGGAGGAGGAGGAGGAGGGTATTCCGATGGCTCCACTAGGATTCCTCCGGCCATGGGGGCAGTGCGGACCCGTGCCGAGCGCGCTGGCGGTGCAAAGCGTTAGGTTTCTTTCATGGGGCCCATCGGTGCTCGAATGGTCCGTTTAAGCTCCGATCACATGGCAAGGCGAAGCTGACCAGAGGTCCACGAGCAGCATCGGTATCGGTATCTTTTCCCTCCCCCTCCATGCTCCGACCTCCTCCTTATCCCTCCCCCTGCGCCTTCCTATTCCGTCTGCCATCCGTGTCCTCCTTCCCGTCCCAGTCGCTTCTCGTCGGCCATCCTTCTTTCTCCGCCCCCCCCCCGCTTCCAAAGACGACGACGACGATGACGACCCCCTACTGCGAGGAGGGGAGTCGGAGTCGGCCGCTGGCAAGATGAGCCTCTCCCACTGCGTGCTGTGAGCGGGAGCGGACGCTTGTCTCTCTCTCTCTCTCTCTCCCTCTATCTCCGCCCCTCCCCCTTCTGTGGGCATTGGGTAAGGAACCCTTAGATAAGTAATCCAAAGCCTGGGAGCCAGTGGAACTCCAATCGTAGGTAGATTGGCCATGGATATCACTGCCGCCCTCGTTGGATAAGGAAACCTCAAGGGTCTGGCGCCTCCTGGGACTATTCCTTAACAAACGACTCCCACCGTATCATTCTGGGGGATGAGCGGCGAAGGAGTGGTGATGGTGATGAGGATGTTGGTGGCTATGGTTGTGGTACTTATGATGGTGATCTTTATGATGCGCATGCTCATGATGATGGATGGGTCTGATGACGATGGCGATGGTGACGACTATGTCGACGATGGAGACGAGAGTGGTGCTGATGTGCAACGTGAGGAGACCGCATTCGGGATGGCGATGGGTAGTTGACGGATGCGGTAGAAAGCAAACGTGACGGGGGAAGAAGGATGAGGATCGCGAGAGGTTACAATTATGGAGTTATGGAGAAGGCGTCCTGGTATCTCAAAACGAATGGCATGCATGACGACATGTTTTCGTCGGGACTTGTGCAGACGAGCCACACTCAACGTCATGATTTGAATCTGTTTGGCGAACGGAAAGAGAGGGACAAAATTGTTATGGTGATTCGGAGGGTTGCAAGGGGACCAAAGGAAGGAATCCCCTCCCTTCCGACATCCCTCCTCCACTTCCTCCTCTCCCCCTCCTCCTCTGTCTCGCTCTCCCTCTCTCTATCTGTCCCTCTCTCTCTCTCTCCTCTCTCTCTCTCTCTGTTGGCACAGATGTGCATGCACAAATACATTGTGTTTGTTTTGTTTGCTTTCCAACTACCGTATCTACTTATACGCATGCGTATCGGTACACGTCTCTGTATTCCCTCAGCATGTGCTTGCACTTAGGGTTGCTTCTTCGTTTGTCATGATAAACTGTTCCTGCCTATCGGTGCGGCGGCTCTGTGCTCACCGTCGCCGCCCCGTCGACGCCTCGCCGCCGCCCGTCGTCTTGGTGTGCCTGGCGGTCTGCCGGCGACGCGATCGCCGCCGCAGCCCCGTCGCGGCCTCGTCGCCGCCCGTCGCCTGGGCCCGGTTGCCTGGCATCGCTCGGACGTGTGCGTTTCTTCCTCGGCGAGGACCATCGAGGAGCATCCTTGACCATTGGCCGAAAAAACCGCGCACGAAACCGAAAAAAAACACAGGGAATGGACGCCCGAGCGATGGCGAGGAGTTGGCGGTTTGGCTGTTCCGCGGTCGCCGTCGGCGCCCCGCTGCCGCCCCGCCACCACACAGGTTCTCTTGTCGAAAGGAGTCTTCGGATCTACCCCCCTCACTCCCCCCGGAAACAAGGCCTCTTGATATCGCGATATCCAGCAACAAACGGGCGGGGGCGAGAGCGGGAGCCCCCCCCCCCCCGTGCACGGAAAAATGCGGAGGGGGTGTGCGAAAGGGGGAGACCCCCCCCCCCCTGGGCGTTCGAAGCTCTGCCCGTTCTGCGCGCAAGGCACCCCCCCCTCCCGGCGCTCCAAGCTTTGCGCCCGTCCCACGCGCAAAAAAGGGTCCCCCCCTCGGCGCTCCAAGCTCTGCCCGACCCGCGCGCAAGAGGGGGGGCTCCCCCCCCCCTCTCCGGTGCTCCCAGCGCTGTCGTCCCGCTCGCAGAGAGGGGCTCCCCTTCGTCCTCCCCTGCACTCCAGGCTCTGCCCGTCCCTCGCGCCCCAAGGGCCCCCCCCCCCGGCACTCCAAGCTCTGCCCGTGCCGCGCGCGCAAGGGCCCCCCCCTGGCACTCCCGACTCTGCCTATCCCGCCCGCGCGCGAAGGGGTGCTTCCCCCTTCTCCCTGGCACTCCACCACTCCAAGCTCAGGCCGTCCCGCGCGCAAAGGGGGCCCCCTTCCCCCCTCTCCTGGGCGACTGTGACAAGACAACCTCTTCGGCTACTGTTATGAGCCTATGTGAAGCTCAGCGGATGGCTCAGGCGAAACTGCCCAGACCAGCAGAGACGGTTTGCAGGGCGTGTCTTTTCACAAAGTGGTTCAGAAGATCCTCTTCCCTTCTGATCCCCCTCATTCTCCAAGCTCTGCCCCCCCTCTCCGCGCGCAAGCCCTCCTCCCACCCCTCGGCACTCCAAGCTCTGGCACCCCGTCCCGCGCGCAAGGAAGAGCCCCCCCCCCCGGCACTTCAAGTTCTGCCTCTCGTCCCGCGCGCATTGGGGCCTGGGAAAAAATTACGCTACCGAGGAACCCCACATACCGAATTTAAATCTTAGGTGTTTGCTTATCATCACGTTTATGTGCAATCCTGCATTCTTCCACGCCCTGGGACCCCGGCACGCATAGCGGCCCCACCCCCTGCGCCCCCCCCTGCGGTGTGGAGAATGTACCACGCCTGCCACGCCCTGGGACCCTGGCGCGCATAGCGACCCCACCCCCTGCGCATCCCCTCTGGTGTCGAACAAGTGCCACACCAGCTAAACCCTGGGCGAAAGGCGCGCAGAGCGTGCTATGCCCTCGACGAGAGACGCGCATAGCGGACGCGGTGAGAGACCAGTCCATGCGCACCCCCTCTGGTGTCCAGAAAGTGCCACGCCTGCTATGCCTTGGACGAGAGGCGCGCATAGCGGCCGCGGTGAGAGACCACCCCCTGCGCACCCCCTCTGGTGTCAAGAAAGTGCCACGCCTGCGTGGGCGAGGGGAGAACGAAAGAGGAGGAGAGGGATGAGGGAGGATGGAGGTGTGAGGAAGACGCGGGTGCGACGCGGGTGGGAAGGAAACCCAAACCCCACGAAACATGTGGGGAAACACCGTTCTCAAGGCCAAGACTTGTTTTCGCAGATGGCACTCCAAGCTCTGCCCCCCGTCCCGCGCGCAAGGAGGAGCCCCCCCCCCCTCCCCCGGCACTCCAGGCTCTGCCGCCCGTCCCGCGCACCAGGGGGCCTGGAACAATAACTACAAACCCGCTCTCGAGGCCAAGATTCGTCCTCGCAGACTGCTCCGAGCTCTGCCCCCCGTCCCGCCCGCAAAAGGGCCCCCGCCCCCCTCTCTCCCCCTGCCCCAGCAACTACACGCTCTCTGCCCCCCCCGCCCCCGCGTGCAAGCGCGGAGCGCCCGCCCCCACCCGCACCTCGAGCCTCTGGCCTCGCGGTCCAGTGCACAATGGGAGGCGTCCCCCTCCGCCGGCACTCCATCACTCCGCTTCCTCCCTGTCCCGCGCAGGGGGCAGGTCCCCCCTCCAGCACCCCAGTCCCTCTCTTTCTCTCTGTCTCCATCCCGGGTAGGAGGAGGAGGAGGGGAGGAGGAGGAGGAGGAGAGGAGGAGGAGGAGGAGGAGGAGGAGGAGGAGGAGGAGGGGGCACAGGGGGGAGCCCCCCCCCTTTCACAAGCGTCACGGCGTGTGCCTGTGGCAGGCGCTGGGGCGAGAGCACCCTTCCCAATCAGAGAGGCGTCTGTCGTTCGGGCGGCGGCACCGTACCCAATTCACGACGTTCGGCGGCGCCGCCTGCGACGGCGACGGAGACGGCGACGGCGACGGCGACGCAAGGACGAAGGGAAGGCGACGACGACGACGATGACAAGGGACGGGAACAGGGAAACACCGACGATGGCACTAACAACTCATCAGTAACACCATCGCCCAAACCCTATCACCATGAAACGACAACTGACCCCCAACGCCCTAACCCCAGCACCCTATCTCTAGCCCGAGCGCCAGCCGTAACACCCTTACCCTGACATGCTGACATTTTCACCCTAGTACCTTCAACATAACATACGAACCCTAACTCCCACGCACTAACCCTACAACAAGCTAGGCAAGCCCGTTCCCAAACAGCCTACGCAGAACCCCCGCACAATGACCCTAGCTCCCTAACCCCGACACCTTCGACCTCGTATCCAACTCCGAACCATCTAACCCTAACACCCCAACTCCAACCCTAACACCCTAACGTTAACATCCCAACCCGAACACCGTATCTTGACCCTGACACCCTAACCCTAGTACCCTCATGCCCTAGCCCTGACCCGAACTCTAACACAACAAACTGAACTATAATTCCATGATGCCTTCAGATTCTAAAGCTGCAGTACCAGACAACCCATAACACCCCAACCCCCCCAAAGCCCCAACCTTATAAACCAATCGAGCCGTATTACAATGCAGCCCCATGGCAGTGAAGATACAATACCTAAAAGCCTACATTCACAATGCCTCCATACATTAAGACTTTGAGACACTGAAGCTCCGACAGGCACGCAGGCTCGCAGGCACGCAGGCACGCAGGCGCGCAGGCGCGCAGGCATGCGCGCACGCGCGCACGCGCACGCGCACGCGCGCGCGCACACACGCGCACGCGCAAACGCGCACACGCGCACGCGCACACGCGCACACGCGCACGCGCGCATGCGCGCACGCGCACCCGCGCACACGCGCACACGCGCACACGCGCACCCGCGCACGCGCACACGCGCACGCACATAATCACACCCACACCCACACTCGCACCCACACCCGCATTCACACCCACACCCACACCCACACCCACACCCATACCCACTCCCGCACCCACTCCCGCACCCACACCCACACCCACACCCACACCCACACCCACACCCACACCCGCACCCACATCCACACCCACACCCACACCCACACCCACACCCGCCCAATCCCACGTCAACGCCCACGGCCACACGCACGCTCAAACCCACACCCAAACCCACACCCACACCCACACCCACACCCACACCCACACCCACACCCACACCCACACCCACATCCACACCCACTCGCACACGCACGCGCACATGCACACGCACACACGCTCACGCACACGCGCACGCTTGCGCGCTCGCGCACACGCACACGCACACGCACACGCACACGCACACGCACGCCTTTGCACGCGCACGCACGCGCACGCGCACACGCACACGCACACGCACGCGCACGCGCACGAAAACACGCACA